CCCCCATCTGTTTTCTTTCTACTGTCTATGCTACTTATTTTCTGTACCTTCTCCCCCCATCTTCTCCTCCCACTCCCCTGTTGCTAACCCTCCTTGAGATCTTCATTTCTATGTTTCCACTCCTGATCTAGCTGTCCTTTTAGTTTGCTTTTGTTTTAGGTGTGGTTGTTAATAACTGTGAGTTTGTTGTCCTTTCACTGCTCATGTTTCTTTAACTTCTTTTTCTTAGATAAGTCCCTTTAACATTTCATATAATAAGGGCTTGGTGATGATGAACTCCTTGAATTTGATCTTATCTGAGAAGCACCTTATCTGTCCTTCCATTCTAAATGAAAGTTTTGCTGGATAGAGCAATCTTGGACGTAGGTCTTTGGATTTCATGACTTGGAATACCTCTTTCCAGCCCCTTCTTGCCTGTAAGGTCTCTTTTGAGAATCTGCTGACAGTCTGATGGGAACTCCTTTGTAGGTGACTGTCCCCTTAGCTCTTGCTGCTTCTAGGATTCTCTCCTTCATTTTAATTTTGGCTAATGTAATTATGATGTGCCTTGGTGTGTTTCTTCTTGGGTCCAACTTCTTGGGGACTCTCTGAGCTTCCTGGATTTCCTGGAAGTCTATTTCCTTTGCCAGATTGGGGAAATTCTCCTTTATTATTTGTTCAAATAAGTTTTCCACTGGTGGCTGTTCCTTTCCCCCTTCTGGTACCCCTATAATTCGGATGTTGGAGCGTTTAAAGATGTCCTGGAGGTTCCTAAGACTCTCCTCATTTCTTTGAATTCTTGCTTTCTGACTCTTTTCTGTTTGGCCATTATTTGTTTTCTTCTGGTCCACTCCATTGATTTGAGTCCCAGTTTCCTTTTCATTGCTATTGGTTTCCTGTGCAATTCCATTCATTTCAATTAGTTTCGCCTTCATATATTTGTCTAATTTGTGGCTATAATCAACCAGTTCTGTGAGGATCCTGATCACCAGTGTTTTAAACTGTGCGTCTGAGAGTTTTGCTATTTCTTCATCGCTTAGATCTATGGGCTCTGGGGCTTTGACATCTTGTGACATTTTTGGTCTATTCTGGCCCTTTAAGTGTGAGAAGGGGTGCCTTGGACTCCCAGGTCACTGGGTTGTGACGCTGTATGTGGGGGCGTGGTCAGAGCGGGGAAATGGCGGCACCCTCCACAGCCGCTTGCCGCGGGGGGGCGCCGGCCCCGGTCGAACTGCCCACTCCCTCGCCTGTCTGCTCGCGCACAAATAGGCGATCCCAGTCAACACGCAGCACCGCTTCCCCGCTGTCTCCTCCACGGTCGCTCGCCTGGTGGCTCGCTCGGTCGCTCACTAGGTCCAACCCTGGGCCTGGATTCTGGGCGTCTGGATTCCGCACACCTGAGTCCGTCTGACCGAGTCCTCCTGTACAACCCCTCATCAGCCGCTGGTTTCGCCCCTTACCGGTCAGGCTGAAGAATTTGTTGTTAACGGACTTCCGAAAAGTTCAATTTTCCGTGTTCTGGCTGTGTTTTCTGTTGCTAATATTTAGTTGTCTCTAAACTTGGTTGTGTGAGAAGGCACGGCACATCCACCTATACCTCCATCTTGGCGGAAGTCACAAGTTTTTTCTGTCAGAAGTTTTGAGGCTTGATTTTCCCACACTGGAACCCTGACTTGAGTGGTCCGTCCTGTTCCCCAGTTATTTCTCCTGTTTTATCCTCGTGTGATCATGAGACCACCTGCTCCACCAGCCACTGCCTTGCCAAGAGTCCTCTCTGCCCTGCTGCCCTTCTCTGCCCTTCCTACGGGTCTGGATGAATGTTTCTTTTTTTATTAACTGCTTGGTTAAACTATATGTCCATACAGTTCAATTTTCTGTCAGTTCTGGTTGTTTTTCGTTTTTAAATTTGTTGTTCCTCAGATACACTGAGGAGGCACAGTGTGTCTACCTACATGTCCATCTTGGCCAGAAAGCCCCTGTGTATTACTTTTGTATGCCCCCTGTAACAAATTACTTAAATTGCTTAAAGCAACACATGTATTATCTTATAGTTCCTGAGGTCACAAGTCTTAGGAGTCAGCCTCTCCAGACTAAAGTCAAGGTGTGGGCAAGTGTTCATTCCTCTGGAGTCTCTAAGTAGAATCCTTTTACTTTCCTTTCTCGTTTCTAGAGGCTACCCACATTCCGTGGCCTGGGGCACTTCTATCTTCAAAAGCAGCAATGACAGGTTGAGTCTTCACATTGCATCACTTCCACTTTAGTTCTGTTTCACTTTTTTTGTTTGTTTGTTCGTTTGTTTTTAACTGAGTCAGCCTCTTTCATATACCTCTTCTACTTATTACATTGAGCGAAGGAGATAATCCAGAATAATTTCTCTTTTTCAAAATCAGCAAGTTAGCAATTTTAATTCTATTTGTGTATTCTGGGGATTTCACTGTGGACAAGGGAGGGAAGGGTTGATAATAGGATTTGGAATGAGGAAGTGGGGTTTTCACTTAATTGCTTGAAATTAGAGAGGTGCTATATTATTTTTGGAGTACAAATTTTATCTGAAATTATTTTAAAAGAACCCTGTCTGAGCATCTCAGTTGGTTGAAGTGTCCTGTACACCAAAAGGTCCTGGGTTTGATGCCTAGTTTGGGCACAAACCTAGGTTGTGGGTTTGATCCCCAGTCAAGGCATGAGTGATAGGCAACTAATCAGTGTTTCTCTGTCTCTCTCCTTTCCCCCTCGCTCTAAAAAAAATCAGTTAAAAGTGGTTTTTCTGAAAAAATAAAAGTTTAAAAGAATATGAAATATCATACATATATTAGATGAGTTTTAGAATGAAGTTTAGACTTAGGGTTATATATTATGGTGAAACAACATAGTGTAGAAAAACTAACACTATTTTGACAAGAGCCTTTGGTTCTACATTTTTTCTCCCCTGCCATAACATTTTGGGTAAATTGCTTAGCTTCTTGGGGAATCATAAAAATGAAGCTTGATGTATAAAATGACTTAAGTTTTATGAAGTAAGGAACTCTTACATGTAAATTGATAAGGTTAGTTTTGAGTGCTAAATCTATTACAGAAAATGGGATAACTGAAGTTTTAACATTTATAGAATAATATAGGAATCATATATAGAAAACATAGGTGTACTCTTTATTATTCATATAGAATATATGATTTGTGATTTTCCTACATTTCCTCAAAATAATACGTATCGCTGGAAATAAAAACATGGTACCATCTTACATTTAAGGTATCATTTAAATTTTCAGAATATTTTTATATTAAATCTCTAGGGAATGGTAAATATGTGGTTACTGTCTACTTCTTAAGAAACTGACACAGAAAGGTTTAGGAAATTACCTAAGTGTACAGAATTTGACATTAAAATCAGTACTGGAATCTTGAACACTTAGAGGTTTTGTGTTCAAGATTGTTTTACCACTGAATCATGCTGCTTTTCAGAGATTGAGGTTGAAATGGTAGTGATTAAAATTTCTATTTTACAGAGAATCTAATGGTTTAGGTAGGAATAAATACCAGAATATGGTTTATTTTCCCTTGGGTTGCTTTAGGAATATTCTAGGTACTAAATCTAATTAGAATGTAAATTGGGGGGTAAATGGATCTTTTGTAAACAGCATAATTGGATCATATTTTTTATCTGTTTTTCTTCTTTCTCCTTTTGATTGCAGAGTTTAACATTTACATTTAAAGTAATTATCAGTAAGGAAGGACTTACACTTGCCATTTTGTTAATTTTTTTTACATTTCTTAGAACTTTTTGTTTCTCATTTCCTCCATTACTGCTCTTTTTTGTGCTTAGTTGTTTTGTAGTGACATATTTTGATTACCTTATCATTTCCTATTGTATATATTGTATAGCTATTTTCTTTGTAGTTGTAGAGATTACATATAACTTCCTACAGATATAACTGTAATTTGAATTGATACCAACGTCAATCACAAAGACTACTCCTATAAATCTACATTTCTTCCCTTTTATGTTATTGGTGTTACAAATTACATCTTTCTTTGAAAATTCACATTTATAATTAATGTCTTTTAAATCCACTTTTCTATCTTTGCAGTTCACACTATGATTAAACTATAAGAGCCTCTTGCCTCTTATCTTATCTCCTAGAAAAAAATCATTTAATAATTATAAATGATAGATGTAGTTGTCAACAACCACATTCAGAATTTTGCTTTTTTTAACAAAAGGAGCGAATAAGATTGTACATGTGATTTGGCTCCTAATGTGGAGTAGACTATATTAGACTATCACTGTTTATGTTGTCAGGAATATAAACCATCAATTATGAAAGCTTAGTCTGCCACTTAGGAATAGAGAAGGGTTGGAGGGTGTATATAATCACATTTAACTTCTGTTCTGTTTTTTAGAGATTTAGCTATGTCCAGTTTTCTAGCTAAGGAAAATGTATTTCTAGCTGGCATTGAATGGGCAGCAGCTGTGTTGCTCTAGCCCCCTCTAGTGATAATATAGTGCGGTTTTGAATATTTATTTATTTTTAGAGTGAGGGGAAAGGAGAAAGGGAGAGAAACATTGATGTGTGATAGAAATATTGATTGGTTGCCTTTCACAGATTCTGTTCTGCTTGTTGGTTTATTTTGCTTTTTACATTTGACATATAAAGCCTTGGTCAGGTAGCTCAGTTGTTTACAGTATCATCCCAATATGCCAAGGTTCGATCCTGGTCAGGGCACATACAAAAAAGGAAACAATGAATGCATAAATAAGTGGAACGATAGACTGATGCTTTTCTCTGTCTTTCTCTTTTACTTTCTCCCTCCCTCTCTCTAAAATCAATAAATTAAAATTTTTAATATTGACATAAAATTTAAATATATGTATTGATATAGAATTTTATATCAATAAAATAAATTTATATAGTAAATATAATCATTTATAAATAATAAAAATAGATTCTTCATACAAGTGAAGTTATATGGCATTTGTACTTCTCTAACCAACTCATTTCACTCAGCACAATAATACCTTCTAGATCCATTCGTGCTGTTGAAAATAGCAAGATTTTGTTCGTTTTTATGGCCCAGTCATATCCCATTGTGTGAGTATACATGCACCGTTTCTTTATCCCTTCATGTTTTGATGGACACTTAAATTGTTCTGTCTCTTGGCTATTGTAAATAATGCTGCAAGGACCCTGGGTAATATGGCTCAGTTGGTTGGAGCATTGTCCCATAAACTGAAAGTCACAGATTCAATTCCTGAGCAGAACACGTGCCCGGGTTGTAGCTTCAGTTTTCAGTCTGGGTATATATGAGAGACGATTGGTGTTTCTGTCTCACATCAATGTTTCTCTCCCTCCTTTGCCCACGCTCTGAAATCAATAAGCATGTCCTCAGGTAAGAATAAAAAGTAAAATACTGCTGCAGCGAACAGATGTATATGTCTTCTCTATTTAGTGTTTTGGGTTTGTTTTTGTTTTTGTTTGCATAAATACCTTCAAGTAGAATAGCCGATTCCTTTTTTCTCTTGTTTTATAGCCTTTGTTTTAAAGTCTGTCTGGTATAATAAGCATTGCTAACCCAACTTTTTTTTCCAGTTTCATGAAATGTATTTTTTCATTTTTTTACTTTCACCGTGTGTGTGTGTGTGTGTGTGTGTGTGTGTGTGTGTGTGTGCGTGCGTGTGTCTTTCAATCTGAAGCGAGTCTCTTATAGACAGCATATGTGAGGGTTTTGTTTTGTCACCCATTCAGCCACTGTGTGTCTTTGCATTGGAACATCTGATTCATTTGCACTTAAAGTACCATACCTTTTGGACTATAAGATGTACCCCTGCCCCCCATTTGGGAAGAATAGTAGTTGTAATGCTGCTGTTGAGTTGTTTACATTTACATTGGTGAAATACTACGTTATTTATGTTATTAAATATTTTACAATATTTTTCGCTTCAAAATATTTTCTTTCTTTTCTTCCTCTAAAACCAGGTGCATCTTATAGTCTGAAAAATGCAGTAATTGTTCATAGATACGTAGCTGTTGCCATTGTATTATTCATTTTTTTAAATATATTTTATTGATTATGCCATTACAGTTCTATTCCCCCCCTTCATTCCCTGCCACCCTGCACACCCCCTGCCCCACAATTCCCCCCCTTTAGTTTATGACCACGTGTCTCAAGTTCTTTAGATTCTATATTTCCCCTACTATTCTTGCCCTCCCCCCTATTTTCTACCTACCATCTATGCTACTTATTTTCTGTACCTTCTCCCCCCTTCTCCTCCTCCCACTCCCCTGTTGCTAACCCTCCATGTGATCTCCATTTCTGTGGTTCTCCTGATTTAGCTGTCCTCTTAATTTGCTTTTGTTTTAGGTGTGGTTGTTAATAACTGAGTTTGCTGTCCTTTCACTGTTCATCTTTTTTATCTTCTTTTTCTTAGATAAGTCCCTTCAACATTTCATTTAACAAATGCTTGGTGATGATAAATTCCTTTAACTTGACCTTATCTGAGAAGCACTTTATCTGCCCTTCTATTCTAAATGAAAACTTTGCTGGATAGAGCAATCTTGGACGTAGGTCTTTGGATTTCATGACTTGGAATACCTCTTTCCAGCCCCTTCTTGCCTGTAAGGTCTCTTTGGAGAAATCAGCTGACAGTCTGATGGGAACTCCTTTGTAGGTGACTGTCCCCTTCTCTCTTGCTGCTTCTAGGATTCTCTTCTTCATTTTAATCTTGGCTAATGTAATGATGATGTGGCTTGGTGTGTTCCTTCTTGGGTTCAACTTCTTTGGAACTCTGAGCTTCCTGGAATTCCTGGAAGTCTATTTCCTTTGCCAGATTGGGGAAGTTCTCCTTTATTATTTGTTTAAATAAGTGTTCCACTTGTGGCTGTTCCTCTTCCCCTTCTGGTACCCCTATAATTCGAATGTTGGAATGTTTAAAGATGTCCTGGCGGTTCCTAAGCCTCTCCTCATTTTTTTGAATTCTTGTTTCTTCATTCTTTTGTGTTTGGTCATTTTTTTTCCTTCCTTCTGGTCCACTCCCTTGATTTGAGTCCCAGTTTCCTTTCCATCACTACTGGTTTCCTGTGCATTTCCCTTCATTTCAATTAGTTTAGCCTTCATATGTTGCTCTAATTTGTGACTAAAACCAACCAGTTCTGTAAGCATCCTGATCAGCAGTGTTTTGAACTGTGCATCTGAAAGTTTGGCTATTTCTTGGTCGCTTAGAGTTATGGGCTCTGGGGATTTGAGTTCTTCTTGGGCCATGTTTTTGTCTATTCACACCTGTTATGTATGAGGAGAGGAGCCTTAGGTGTTCACCAGGGCAGGGCAACCCAGGTTGCTGGGTTGTGATGCTGTATGTGGGCGTGGAGTCAAAGGGGGGCAATGGGGGTACCCTCTGCTACTTCCCACTGCTGGGGCCTGCGCGGTCGGTCTCACTGCTCACTCCTTTGCTGGTTTATCTGTGCTCAAATGTGTGACAGCGGTCAGCCTGCCACCTTGCGCCCTCAGTGGGTCCGCCCACTGCTACTCCACGCCTGAGTCAGGTGCCTGCGTCTATCCGGTATAGATCTGTCCTGCCCGACCCCATTTCGCTGCTGGCTTCGCCCCTTTTACCAGTCTGGCTAAAAGGTTCGTTGTGTTGTCAGACTTCCGTATAGTTCAATTTTCTGTGGTTTGACTGCATTTTTATTGCTAAAACTTTGTTGTTTTTAAACTTGGTTGTGCGAGAAGGCACAGTGCTTCCACCTACGCCTCCATCTTGGCAAAAGTCTCCTCTATCTTTTTTTAAAATTGTTGTTCAAGTACAGTTTTCTGCCTTTTGCTCCCATCTTAGGCCACCACCCCTTCCCCAGCCCTTCCCACCTCCCTCCCTGATCTTTTGTTTTTTCTTTTTAAGAAGACTCTTTAACATTTATTGTAATACTGGTTTAGTGTTGAGGAACTTCTTTAGTTTCTCCTTGTCTGGGAAGCCCTTTATCTGTCCTTCAATTCTGAATGATAGGTTTCCTGGGTAGAGCAGTCTCAGTTGTAGTTCCTTGCTTTAAATTACTGTAAATATTTTGTTCAAGTCCTTCTGTCCTGCAAAATTTGTATTGAGAAATCAGCAGACAGTCTTATGGGGAGGTATCTTGTAGTTTGCTCAATGCTTTTCTCTTGCTGCTTTTAAGGTTCTCTCTTTGTCCTTAACCTTTGGCATTTTAATTATGAGATGTCTTGGTGGGGCCTTTTTGGGTTTACCTTGTTTGGGAATCTCTGTGCTTCCTGGACTTGTACGTCTATTTCCTTTATAATTTAGGGAAGTTTTCTGTCATTACTTTTTCAAATAAGTCTCCATTTTTTTCACTCTTCTGGCATGCCCATGATGCAAATGTTGATATATGTGAAGTTGTCCCAGAGGCTCTTTACACTATCTTCTTTTGATTCTTTTTGTTTTTCCTGTTCTGATTGGGTGGTTCTTTCCAGATTGCTGATTGGATTCTCAGCTTCATCCACCCTACTGTTGATTACCTGAAAATTGTCCTTTATTTCAGTTACTGTATATTTTGTTTCTGACTGGATCTTTTTTATGCTGTTGAGGTCCTAAGTTCCTTAAGTATTCTTATAACCCGTGTTTTGAACTCTGCATCTGATAGATTGCTTGACTCCATTTTGTTTAGTTCACTTTCTATAGTTTTGTTCTCTTCTTTCATGTGGGCCACATTTCTGTGTCTCCAGGTGTTTCTTTCAGTGTATTAGGTAAAGCTCCTAATCTCCCAGCATTGATATAGTGGCCTAATATAATGGGTGTCTTGTAGGGTCCAGCGGCACAGCCTCCCCTATCATCCAAGCTGTATACTCAAGGTGTGCTCACAGTATGGGCTGTGTACACTCTCGTTTTACTTGAGCCTTAATTGCTGTTGAAATGTCCAAAATCATCCACCATGATTATTGTTGAAATGTCCAAAATCAGCCACCATATATGTTCTGTATGGGGTCACAAAGCATAATGTCCGTAGTCATCTGCAGATGACTGCTACTTGTATTAGGCTTAGAGGTGCCTAGGCAGGGCTAAGCTGTGAAGCAAGGCAGGCTGTTACTAGTTCCAGGCCTAGGGCAACTTAGTGAGAGGTACAGGGCTTGCTGAAGCCAGGTGCTGCTTATTTTTGAGAATTTAGGAAAATCTGATGCATGGGCCAAGACAAGCCATCCGTATGAAAAGGCCACTGGAAACAGTTGGGGGGGGCGGCTGAAAGTTGGGGGGGGCAGGGCCTCAGGGAATCATTAGGGTGGGGGAAACAGCATTGGCCAGCTAGATAGATGGAAATCTCAGATATTATGGCCACCATGGCCACCTGCCTGCCCTGTAGCTCTGTGTGGGAAGGGCTCAGTAAAGAAACAATAGCCTCTGCCGTCACTTCTGTCTGGGAGAAAACTACCCCATAGCTCTCTCTGATGCCAGACAATTCAGTCCCTCCCTGTATGTCTCTGATGCCTTTCAATCTGCTGCCCAAGCACTGGTGTTCAGAGGGCATGAGTCCAAGTAAATGTGTGTGCAGGCACTGTAAGAGGAATTGCCTAGTACTCCAGAAGTTGGTGTCTTCAACAGCCTTTATCCCTGCTGGTTTTTATAGCCAGAAGTTGTGGGGACTTATCTTCCTAGCACTGGAACCGTGGGCTGGGGATCCTGATATGAGGCTTGGACCCCTCACTCCTGAAATACATCTCCCCATTTTTATGTGCCACACATGGGTTATGGCACCATCCTATTCCACATCTCTCTGCCTCTTCTACTAGCCTCAGTGTACTTTCTTCTTTAATTCCATAATTGTACGACTTCCATTCAGCTCAATTTTAGATGGTTCTGAAGATGGTTGTTCTGTAGTTTAGCTGTAATTTTGATGTGGTTGTGTGAGGAGATAACCTTGTTGACCTGTGGTGCCATCTTTCTGACTCGATATTTTATGGTTTCTGTGTCTCTTTTTATGTTGTTGAAGTTCTCACTAAGTTCCTTGAGCATCCTTATAACCATTCTTTTGAACTCTCTATCTGGTAGTTAGCTGGTCCCTATTAAGTTCTTTTTCTGGAGAGTTCTCTTGTTCTTTGATTTGGGACTTGT